CATTATTGTCAATATAAAATCCTTCAGGTGTTCGGTAGATTCGGAAATGTCTAATCTTCACCTGACCATCCAATTCACTTCTCATCGAGAGAGTATAATTGCCTTCTTCTACAAAAAATGTGCAATTAAGACTGCATAAATGTTCATCTTCAGGAGTGAAATTTGAATTCTTATTTAAGGCATTTACTTCTCAAAGGCCTAATCATGTAGGATCCGAGTTTATTCCCGGGGACAAGAAGACGCTTCTCTGCTTCAACCCGATTTGCTGGATACCAAGCACTCAAACAGCCAGCTATTTCAGTGCTCTCAGTAACATAGTTATGTGGAATAAGGCCTTTTTGACCGGTTCTGGTATTCTCTGCCATTTGCCATGGTTGTCCGAAGAGACCGGTGACCTTTAGCATGTCATCTCGACTGAATTTCAACTCATTCGCCTCTGAGGGTGTATAATCGTAGAGAGCGCAGACCATGACACAATTGGTGTTTTGGAATAGTTCCTTATCCAAAGGGGGTTTAGGCCTAGTTGGTTCGGGAGCTGGTGGGGTAGGGTGTTCAACCGGTTTTCGCCAAAAAGGGAAAATCCAACAACAACAACGGCACATTCTAAATACTGGGACACAAAAATGTCAACAAGGCAAACCAATTTAACAAAATCATCTATTTATGTAGTATCTAAGGATGTAAAAGGGAGTGTTCCAGGAAGTAGTACATATTTTGGACTTCTTTTTCATAATTTTGATTTTCAGATGTATTGCACCTTCATTATTGGCTGTCATTGTATTAAAAGCATTAGGTAAAAACATACTTTTCAATCTCAATTAACATGTTCTGACACCTAGGAAAGATAATTTAACCGTCAGTTTCACCCCTCAATTCTACCAAGTATTTATTAGGCCGTCAATCCCAAGGAAGGGTGAACTAATGCAAAAAACCACATAGCCATTCTTGTTAAAATTGAATAAAAAATCAATACACTTAAAATTCATCTGAAATGGGACTTCAATTGCCTTGTAACTATTTAATTTTTTTCTATCTAAATCTTCATGTTTAATTACCTTTTGATATGTATCGTTGTTTGAAAGTATTTTCCCTGATAAGATGGAGTAAGATCTAGTTTTAGTGTTCTTTGTGCAATGCTGTGCATGCAATTTTAACAGTAAATAATTAACCAAAGCCGATATCGATCACAATTAGATAAAATGCACATCTAAGGCGGAAAGATAAATGACACGAACTAAAGCTTTGGTTGGCATGTGCGAAACGCTGTAAAGAATCGTTAACACTTTGAAAGTTGGCAGAAAATTTACTTAAATAATAAAATTATTGTTCTACTTCTTCTCGTTTAAATTAACATTTTCATGGAAATGCTAGGTGACTGAAAAGTAATTACCGTTCAAGGTCTCCAGATGTTATTTGTTTTACTATATGCGTCCCTACAAACTACCATGTTAAACTGAAGGTTACATGCTGGGACTTTTAGGAAACTACAGATGAATGTTTAGGTAGAATTTGAATTAACCACCACCACCACCACCCTGATTCCGTTTAATCTTCTATTCCAACTCCTCCCCCCTTCATAAATTAAAATTGGTTACGCAAGTTAGGAACTTGACTCCCAATCAACCCCATTCTCTTACAAAAATTAGTTATATTCGCAATAGCTCAGTGCCAGATTTAACCAGAAAGGTCATATTTAAGCGCCTTTTTTAACTAATTACAATTTATTGATGTCATGAAATGAATACTTATATTTTGTTATGATTTTAATTTAAATGGTACAGAGTTAATGATTTATATTATTAAGCCTGTCATTTTACATAAATAATTAAATAAATGTTAATTGAACAATTATTTTATGTTGAAATTATTATTAGTACAATAATATACCTTTAATTAAGAATAGTAATAAACTAAATTATTAGAAAGTACTATTCGACTGTACGGGCTTGACTTGTCCATAGTCTTTTTTATTTAAGAAAAAAGCGTTAAACAGGTTAATAATACAGAGAGTTTAATAAAAGGCAAAAAATGTAATTCTTCTCACTTTGAAGTATTCGGCGTTAACTAATGGGGTAATGAAATCCACTGAAATATATTTATATAGAGCTCTGTCTACGATTGCAGTAAGCCAATAGTTGTCGTAAGACAAGAAGAGACCCTGAGACTTTGCAAAATATGTGTAGGTTCTAAATATAGGCTCAATTATGGGTGGTATCGAAGTAAAAATAGTCATAACCCCACTTAGTATCGTGTAACTATTAAAATATTAGGTTGGCAACTACGTCATTGCCGATTTCAAATAAGAAGGCAAATTCGGAATTTTTGTTTAAAAATATAACTTTATTCAATTAGATATTGGCCGTTCTTGTCGATGACCTTTTTCCATCGTTCTGGCAGAGCAAAAATTCCCCGTTCGTAAAATGTCTGGTCTTTGCTATTAAAAAACTGAATTAGGTGTGATCCGACATCATCCGCGTTGTTTAAAATTTTACCATTTAAAGAGTTTAGCATGGAACGAAGCAAATGGTAATCCGAAGGCGCAAGGTGAGGGCTATATGGTGGGTGTGACAAAACATCCCAACCCAGTTCCAATAATTTTTGCCAAAAACATCCCAACCCAGTTCCAATAATTTTTGCCGAGCAAGGCGCAAGGTGAGGGCTATATGGTGGGTGTGACAAAACCTCCCAACCCAGTTCCAATCATTTTTGCCGAGTAACCAAAGGTGTGGGAGAGGGAGGCCTTGCGTTATCATGATGGAAAACAACTCCCTTACAACACCCCCCCCGATTTGATACCGGCAGCCGCTTATCTTCAATTGCATCCATCACTTTTTCGAGTCTTATCGTTTGGTTCCGCGGCATGAGTTCAAAATACAAAAAAATCCTTTGTGATGCCACCAGACTGACGGCATAATCTTTTTTGGTGAATCTCTGCTTTTGATACTGTTTGGGCTGGTTGATCTTACTTCACCCATGATCTCTTGCGAGTAACATTGTTGTAAACTATCCACTTTTCGTCGCCAGTAACTGG